TAATCCCAAGGTGTTTGTGTGGTCAGTAGCTATTTAGTTTTGCGCAATGGGAATTTGCAGCATATATAAACTTATTGTTACTTATAGTTTACTTATGGATAAAATATTGTACTCTGTACATATTATTTAATATGGGATTTATTGTTTTATATGATAATATGAAATCAACATTGAAGTATATATTTTACCGATCCGATCGACTTCAAATCTTCTTAGAAAAATATAAACTGTTTTTCATATTTTTTTAATGATTGATACTCAAAAGTGGTCCCATAGAAATTGTAGGACCCCATTTACATATTTATTTAAAAGTAATTATATTTCAGCCTTTCGAATACTTCAAGCATGAAGTCACAGGCGATTGATTTAGTAGATGTACATAAGCCATTAGATATTATTTGTTAATCACAACCACCATCTTGCCATATACTGGCCAGATATAGCTAGACCACAGATTAAAGTGGTCTAAGGTTATTTAATTAAATGAGGACTATCGTTTCTGTTGATACCAGTTGGCGCCACTGGCGAGTAAGGTCCTATCGTCAGTCGTTATATCTTATATCGGCAGTCGTTAAAAAAGTATTTGTTAGTGCGACAGAGCCATAAATTTAATATAATAATAATAATCGTTAACGCGGCACCAGTTTATATAAATAAATTGTTAACAAACAACAAAAAAGATAAAATATTGACTTTTTCGTAGCTTTTCTCATAAAGCAATAATATTTGTTGAGCGGTACTGTATCCGCCTTAATAAGGAGGAATGACACAATCTTTACAATAATTATGAATAATTGGTGAAAATCCCCGATGAAAAGCTCGCAAACAGTAAACACTCCTCCAGACCTTAGCCTTGCTCTACATTAGCGCCTCTTGCGGCGAATTAAAGCGCGTTAGCTCTTATTATTCTAAAATGTTGTCAAAGAAAATATGAAACTTTGATAAATTATGATAAAAAAATCACATTATCCATTAACTTAATCGCTACTAATATATAAACCAGAAGGCTTATTTATTTTTTGTAAGCTCAGTTTAATCTCTCACCACATCATCCGTTCAAACGCATTAAACTGCTTCTAACTGATTTTCTTGAAGCTTTCCATTTCAGTTTAGACGCGACTTAATAACTTACAAAAAGGAGTTAAAAGAGAACTTTAGAATAAACAAGCTTTTTTTCAACATAAAAGGGTCGAAAAATTTTAATACAACAAACTTATTAGATAGATATATGTGTCTACATTAATTTGGCTTAACTTTAGAAATTTAAAAATATTTTATAGCTAGTTATACAATTTGAATTAAAAGATCAATGATCTAAGTCGGTACCAATTGGTATTATAATATTAACAACAGTAAACAGATCAAACGTGGGTGTGACACCCACGGCGAACGTTTCTCAAGCACGAACAAAGCAAACCTTAAAAGGATAGTAACAAAAGGTGAGCAATGCTTTCTGTACAAAGCGATATTCTCTGAAAACCAGCAAAATGTATCTGTTTAGAAATACGTATTATTTACTAGCGACTCATCCTAGCTGCGCTCGGGTTCGACCTTAGTTACATTTTCAAGTTTAGTATAGATTTCCCAGAGATAAGATATTTTCCCGCAGTAAAAAGTATCCTGTATGTTGACCCGGATGACCAGCTATTATCATACCAAATTTGATCAAAATCTGTTCAGTGGTTTTCTCGTGATGCGTTTCCAGACACACAGAAAAAAATCCTAAAAACTAAAGATTCGACTTCTGTATCGATAATAATGACAATTTCAATAAGATGTTCCAAAAAATGTTTAATTTACAGATTCGACTCAGTTACAATTTTACCTACTATATGTAGGTATAGATAGCTTTGTGTATTGTGAATCGCTAACACCAATATCAAATATCCCCTGGAAAACCTATTAACTAGGGATTTAGTAATATTTACTTTTTTTACTAAAAACATTTTTGTAAACGTCATACCAATGCAAAAACAATTTAAATATTATTTTTCTACATTGACGTCTATCATGTATCCATCCTAGAGGTAATAATAACCTATTCATTTCAAAGAGAACAATCAAAATTCAGTTTCGCCATTGTTCTAAAAAGTTGTAAAAAGATGAAGCTTATAATTGAGAAAGATACGAGTATATGAGTGGAGAAAAAATTAACAAACATGGATTTTCCGATAAAAATAAAGCTTTTCACATCGCAAATCTCATTTTTGATTCATTATATTTTATGAGAAACACGAAGCATGCAATATGCATAGACAAAATTTTATCACGAGATGATAACGATGCGTTGTAAGTTAGTACACTAGCGTTTGCCCGTGCCTTTATTTATGTATAATTGTTCCATTCCTAAAATTGAAGGAATATCAATTGGCGCTGTAGAGCGAGAGAATAATATCATTGTTAGTCACTGCACCAATTTATGGATTTTTTTATTGTTCTTTGTTGGACTAATATGAGTTCAAATTACATATACGAACTGAATATTGTAATAGCATCAAAATTTATTTTTTTGCCTCAAGATACTAAAAATTAAAGTAAATCGTAGAAGAGGTTTTATAATAGCAGCCATCCCGCTTTTAAATTATGACATAATAATTAGATATTTTGGTGATTAGGCACATGGGCTTAACTTAATTCATCACTGCCATTAAAATGTTATATCAATAAAAAAACAAAGACTATTCAACCGGCCCGTACCTACGTCGTACAATACAGCAGTTCAAAACATTAAAATTAACCGCCTGGCGGGTGGGCGCTATAAGTCGACTAAATAAAAACCCCGGCCTTGTATTTAATTTTGTAATCAGACGGGCAGTATTTATATATTGGTTGGTTAATAGTTTTTATGTAGTTCAGTCACCTCGCTCTCTACTAACAGCGTTGAATCTTTAGTCAAATAAGTTGGAAGTTGCTAGAATGTTTAGTCAATTACTACATATGGCTTCCTTAAATTAACAAGCTACGTGGGAAAATTAACTAAATTCCATACAGATAAATAAAATTGAAGTGTCTGCTTGTAATATCAAAATAACAGCTCTTTATTAAATGCATATAAAATCATATATGGTACTTTTAAAAAAACAATTTTTAACATTTTTGTCACTGTCTGTCTGTTTGTTCTGGCTAATCTCCGAAACGGCTGTACAGATTTTGCCGGAACTTCCACTGGCAGATAGCGGATGTCATAAGGAGTAACTTAGGTAACTTTTATTTTAGAAAAAGATTTAGGCTTACGATAAAAAAATGTACCTAGGGACAAACCCGAGCGAAACGAGGGTGAGTCGCTAGTTTAAACTAAATAAAGCTAAATTGTAACTCCAACATAATAATTTAAAATTCATTGCTTCTAAGTTAGTTAAGCTTTATGAAACAAAGAAAATTAATAAGAATAAGTGATTTTTTCTTTATACTATATTGATATACGAGTATAGTAAACGATATGGCCTAAGAGCCTGTGAACGCCAGACTTTCGTCATTTTATAAAAGCTGAAAGTTTGTCAGCCCATGCTCCCAACACAGATAAGAACGATGGACCATTATGAAGTTCAGGCTATGGTGGCTTTGGCAGGTACACGGTACTAAAGGTATGTAAAATACCGATCTAAATTCGTCATATAATAAAGTGTGATTTTTTGGTATTACCTTCAGAATATTATTAAAAATCACTTCATTCAATGCCAGACACTTAACATCGTGGCAAATCCTTGCCAGACACCCTTTTCATGAAATCATAATTCTACTTACGTTATAGTATAAAATCTGATTTTTATATATAATACTTGGGTAATAATTAGATGATTTATAAGACTGCTAGCATAGCATTTATTACACACCATGAAAAATGTTCCAAACAAGTTGGGAGGCATTTCTAAGAAAATGTTGCAAATGGTCACCAAATTTGAAGCGCTAGCAGTCTTATAAATCATCTAATTATTATCCAAGTATTATATATAAAAATCAGCTTTTATACTATAACGTATGTAGAATTATGATTTCATGAAAAGGGTGTCTGGCAAGGATTTGCCACGATGTTAAGTGTCTGGCATTGAATGATGTGATTTTTAATAATATTCTGAAGGTAATACCAAAAAATCACACTTTATTATTTGACGAATTTAGATCGGTATTTTACACACCTTTAGTACCGCGTACCTGCCAAAGCCACCATAGCCAGAACTTCATAATGGTCCATCGTTCTTATCTGTGTTGGGAGCATGCGCTGACAAACTTTCAGCCTTTATAAAATGACAACCGTCTGGCGTTCACGGGCTCTTCCTCTAGTAGTATTAAACGAGTTAAATTAAAAACTTGACTGGCAGACGTAAGCCATTCATGTCGTAATCTTCGTTGAAGTCTCTTCGATATCGTTTGATCGTTTCTGAGCTTGACAGATGTCTAAAAGGAGTTTTATGTAAAGATAAGCTTTGACAACCCACCAGCACGTTGCGGTATTACTTGGTCAATTTAAAGTGGTGTTATAATATAGCATAGATATATAAGATACAAGAGGTAAAATACAAATATGAATTCATTTTCCTGCTGTATTTTTAGTTATAAAAAAGATAAGTAAAATGAATCATCATAATTAGATATTTGACTTATTTACGTCGTTTTGAGCGATAAAAATACTGAATTAGGTCAATGTGAAATGTTGGTAAAATCGCTTTGACCTTTATAACTTATATTACGTACAAAACATTCTGACATTGGAAAATACGTACGTAAAATTAGTTCCATACAAAAACTAACCGAAACTAGGTATTATGAGACGGAGTGACTGATGAAGTTCGCTATATTTCCCTATTAATACTATAAAGATAGAAGTACATATTATGTATTAAATTGGTATTTTCAGATGTGATAGTTGATTTAGTTAATGAAATATTTTCTATTACGAACAAAAAGAAAGAAAAAACCCACGGAACGGAGACAATAGATATTACGTGAATTGTTTCAATGCGAACATACTGTACACAACGCCTTCTCGCGGTTGCGAGTTAGAGCTTGACTAGCTCTAGAGCCGGATTTAGAAAGCAACCAGGGTTGTATGTATCTGTGGGCAGCGGAACCTCCACAATAGGAATAACTAAATCCTATTTAGTTTTTTTTGTGTAATATAAAATCATTTTTGTGTATTCGCTTTAGCACTCAATTAACCAAAACACTTCTTTAATTGCTATCCAATAAACCACTCCTTAATTGCCCTTAATTTAAATCCGGCCCTGACCTTGCCACACACACATACATACATACAAAAACAAATATTAAGGTATCTTAGCTGTCAGACTTATCGCAAATAGATCGTCAAGCAGTCGTACTTGCAAGGACGTTGAACGCGTCGGGCCGCGGTTGGCTAATCGCGGAAACGGCGGAGGCGAGCCCTCCCGCTTGCGTCACACATTTGTAAAGAGTGAATGCTTGTGTACGAATCCTACTGATTGCTCAATGGGAATGCTTTTTAGATAAACCAGCAGGATGTGATGTATGAACTGTATTCTCATCATTTATTTTTAGTTTTGTACTTGTATTAGGGGCTAGCATTTAGTTAGTAATTATATTATTGTTTTATTTTATAATTAGCATTTTCTCCGGACTCCTTCTACTTTATTTAGTCATATATAATAGCACTGCTCTGACGGTCGCTACTCGCAGCATAATTATTTCGTTTATAAACGTTATAAGCTTCCTCGATAGATAGCCTACAAAATACAAAAAAAAAAACAATTAGGTTCTTCAGATATCAATCTATTGATCAAACGACAGAAAAGCAAAATACTCATATTGATAAATTAGTGTCGCCAAAAAAATACTAGAGCGAATTGGCATGTGCGAGTCTCTATTTATATAGTAGCCAGCAAAGTACTAATAATTATGTAGGATACTATTGAAATAAATCCTAGCAATGCTTGACCTATAAATCTATACAGATAAATAAAATTTAAGTGTCTGTTTGTAATGTCAAAATAACAGCTTTTTACTAAAAGTATATACGGTATATATAAGAAAAACCCAATTTCAACATTTTTGTCTCTGTTTGTTCCGGCTAATCTCCGAAACGGCTGGACCGATTTTGACGGGCGGGACTGTCACTGGCAGGTAGTTGATGTTATAAGGAGTAACTTAGGCTACTTTTATTTCAGTAAAAGAAATAGGGTTCCGCTCAAAAAAATGTACCTACGGACGAACCCGAGCGACGCGAGGGTGAGTCGCTAATCTTACATTTAATGAAAGTGTAATTGATCGCTGTCTGTATGTGGAAGATATTTGAGATAAACTATAGTTTGTGTATATATATCTTTATTAACGCAATAGAACCCAAAACAATGATTTTTATTTTTTTTGTCTGTTTGTCTGTGCGTTTGTGTACGATAATCTCGGTAACTGCTTAAACGACTCGGGTGCGTCTTTCACTAATGTATCGAGGTAAGCTTAACTAACTTAATATTTACTATTTGTTTAATTTCAATCGGTTCATAAATAAAAAAGTTATGTCAATTTAAAGAACCAACTAGGGACGAACACGATCGAAGCGAGGCTGAGTCGCTAGTAAATAAATATATACCCATTCATTAATTAAAAATCTACTCTACGTTCAATATAAATATAATAAATACATTGACACAATAAATTAATTAACACTAACAAATTTTAATAATTCATAAATTGAATCACGTTACTACAAATACTATAACACATAGTAGTATAGTTAAATCTATAGTTATTTTAACCGTAAGTTTTAACAATGTTTTGTTCGTACGAGTGCTTCAATGCTATATGAAAGGATGACTCGCCAAGCCCACTCCAGACAGCCTAAGTATTTTGCACAGTTAACTAACCCCTGTTAAAGTGGCAATTGGTGACATTTGCGTCAATAATAATTCCAATGGAAATGATTATTGATATGTTTTTGTGGTGAACGCATAGTCGTCAGAATAGAATCAAATTACACAGATTTGCGTCTGATAAATTGTCGTATGCTAGTTCTATTTACTTCAAGGAATCATTTATAATTTAAATAGTAATGTAAAAGCTATGTACATTACTATTTAAATTATAAATAATTCTTTGAATATGTTTTAATATTAAAAATTCTTTAATAATTTACTAAAGAACGATTATGTTCTATATTTAAACTGTGGTTTAATAGCTTTCTTCCGAGGGATTTTTAATTATGACGCGATTTTAACTACATATATATCTTTATATATATAATTCTTCTGTGAGTGTGTATGTCACTGAACTTCTCTCAAACGACTGGACCGATTTTGATGAAATTTTTTGTGTGTGTTCAAGGGGATCTGGGAATGGTTTAGATTCACAATTTGAATAATAATTTTCATCAAAATGGTCGAGAATGTTTTAGCTTATTAAAAAAAGTTTGAAATTTTCAAATTAAAGACGTGTAGACAGGACAACGTCTGTCGGGTCCGCTAGTAATAATAAATAAAAATAATAAATGTTGGGATATTAACACACAGCGCCATCTAGTTCCATGGTAAGCTGCGAGGCTTGGAATATATATCTCGATTCTGCACTTTGTAGATATGTGAAATCCGGATCACAATACAATATGTTGATATCACCGAGCTAATCTGATGATGATCGGAGCCGTGATTCGGTTGGTGGGTAAGTGAAACATTCGTATTTAGGGGCACAAAAGGATAATTTTTGACGTGCCCCTTATATTATACTTGGCCAAAAGTAATTTAGTAGTTTTATTTATTAAACCATAATTGTTATTTGTAACATATGTATATACTCGTAGTTTATGGGTCGAAGAACGACATAAAACACAATTAAAACTCTGAACATAGTATATATCTATAAATGATGCGAAAGTCACTTCATAGAGATATATAGCTAAGTAGAGCCAAGAAAAAGGGAGAGCATGCAGCTGTAAATTAATAAAGCTTGTGAGTCCGACCGTGGAAGGGAGCGTCGCATTAATGAATGGGTTCACACGATGGCGGAGGACCGAGCCAAGTAATAATTTCAAGGCAAATGGCTATATTACGAGACTTAGCTGGTTTATTTGTCTACTCCGCGTGCGTAGACAAACTTTCTCTATAAGTGAGGCAACACAAAACCAAGTAAAGTACCGACCGACTTATATAACTGACTAGGTGATTTTCATTACAATATTGTTATTTCGTAGGAAGGTGTTTTTTGTAGAATTCTGAAATAATTCGAGCACTTTTTTAATAATATACCAAACGGATAGATGCTTTAATGGACGGGGGGAAAGAGAGCTATTTTTATATTTCTTTACATCAAATTCCTGTAGAATATTAATATCCTGTAAAAACACTTTCATTACACAAATAACGCAGATCAATATTATATGGAAATCGTGAAATATTACCTGTTTATACTCAGGGGTGGGAGGCCTCGGGTACTTGGAGGCGAGACGAGCTCCAGCGCCGCATCCCTGCGGGGTCGGAGGCTCATCTTCCGGATAGTACAGGTGTACAAAATCCTCAGTGTCCAGAAATGTATTGATCAGCATAATCCGTAACAAAACGAACGTCTAACCAAATCAGACTTAACACTACACTATAACTCGCTAAGTAAGGAAGCACAATATCTCAATTCGTTGGTTTGTAACGTTCCATCTTTCAACGGATAACTATATATACTATTGTATAATAAATAAGTTAAGTTTCCTACAATTGTATAAAATCACATTTGCACCGTAGTTCGATCACACTTTGTTCTACTGGAATAAATAAACGTTAGTTGTGAGGACGCTCCAACATGTTTAAATTATATTATATCTCGCACCAAAATTAAACAAAGATTGTATCTTGCAAGCAACGTCTAATCATTTTAAATAAGTCTTTATATTTTTTAAGATATCTTTAAGTTTTACACGAATTAATTGAGTAATTTGTAAACTTATAAATAATTATTTTATCCGTAATATAAAAGAAATCCAATGAAAACTGTATTTGCAAAAAATCTTAATTGGTATCAAGTCGAGATATATATTGAATTAACAGAAACTAAAAATGTCTCTATCTACTTCGGCCTTGACATAGGAAGTTTATGTACATCGTTTAGATTAAATATCTATAACCGATGCGATAGAACAAATAAGCAGCAAGCTTTATTTAATGATGATGCCATGTGTTGTTGTACACGCGCGTCATAATACGAGGGCAGCAGAAATATACAAGGTTGCCTAAAGTTTAAAAAAATTGTGGATTTACTGTGGTTTAAATATTTTCTTACTAAATAAGTGTCTAACAAATAAATTTTACTGAGAACACTTCCATCTTTTGACAACATTTGCACCAAAGACAAATTAAAACAGTTACCGGTGTTATTGATTATTTGAATCTTATAGATCAGTGAATTTCAATGTCCTAGCATATAATACCAGATATCATATCTGGAGAAGTTAAATATGTGCGTTTCTAGATACTTATTGATAAATTTCATGTATGATAACAGATAAGATTACTTAAAATATAATTAAATATTACAACTGTGAACTCGATAGATTTTCTTAAACATCAATTTTCATATTTCTAACTTCAAACATTACCAACTTTAACTTTAATCATATAGTTCCACGTATGTATGTATTCAACCCCTTTAGAAGATGAATTTACAAAAGTTCAGCCGTTATGCTCGCTTTTATTATGTATAGGAAATTTCGGTGCAAAATAATGATCAAAACGAAATGATTTCCGAATTCGTTTTCCAAATTTTGGCGCCTATATGAACTTCTTTCACATAAAGTATTCTATACTAGCGGTTCACCCTCGCTTCGCTCGGGTTCGCCTCTGGGAAAACAAAAACAAACCTATCCCACGGGAACCGTACATTTTTCCGGCATAAAAATCCTATGTGTTATTCCAGACTATAAATAATCTATCTCTGTGCCAAATTTCATGCAGATCCGTTCAGCCGTTCTGGCGTGATAGAGTAACAAACATCCATACTCACAAACTTTTACAATTATAATATTTATTAATATGTACAGATGTCGCATAATTTCTCAATCTGACGTATAATATTTTCAACTCGTAATATTCATTCAATGAAGTGCCTTATTCAAATAATAAAAGTATAGCCACAATAAAATGTCATCTTGAGGTTATACACCACTGGCTCGTTTGAGTTAATGAAGCTGCAGAGTTTCACAAATGGCAAGTAATTATATCATCTATGTATATTCACTGTGGACATAATACGTAACTGTATAACGTAATATTCGACTCAGTTCGATGACTCGGATCAAGCATCTACATCATTTCGAGTCGGAAGATTGAAAACAGATATTAAAATTAATAATAACGCTTCAAAATGGTGCAAAATAAATAAAAAAATGTATAGCTGTATTAATACGTGTATAAATATTTTAACAGCGTGACGAGGAATGAAAGTGAAAAATAATTGTTCAGGTTAAACCGCGCTGGACTTAGCCTAGGCCAAGGACGAGTAGAAGGAAATTTAGGCAGCGCTTTCCTATAATTACATTAGTGACCACTTAATAATAATTTTTGAAGCCATATAAAGAACAAAAATACGTGACAAAATTTGTATAGGATATAATATTTTCATGTTCCGAATGAAAATAAGCAAACTAATGAAGCCATTTATTTTCTTTTACTCACAACTTCACAAGTAAATGAAATTAATTTGTAAATGTCAAACAATACTAGTCTATATAGACTGACTGAGCTTTTCTACTTTAACGTAGATGAGTAAGATTTTTATGCGCTTTCAAACTAGCAAGTACGCATACCGTCTTAACTGCATATTAGACTATTTATCTTTAAAATTTTAGCTTATCTAAAATGACGTAAGCCTAGTAGGCTGGGATCTTGGACTAATATACCTTATGGAATCTTAAACACTAGATGAAATCAATGATTAGTATAGGTTAAAAAAAACACCAATTCTTCTAATAGCTTTTACAATAGCCATCATATTGAATTAACCAATAGAATTACTATCACAAAGTTAAATAAAACAAATTTCAAAAATGTAAATCGATCGGAAATCACAATTTATATGGCATAATGAACTTTGTTACCAATATGATAATTATGTTGTTAACAATCATAATATTTAGTAGTAAGCGCATTACATTTTATCAATCTGGGACACCAGGCACTTGTCTGACACTTTACTATAACGTTAGTGGAATAAGAGCTGGTACTTAAATTTTTAAATGTGATTTAACACTTTTGATTTTATTTTTAGAATTTCAATTTAATTATGCATCTCGTTAGAACGGGTCAAAGAATTATAACAAGACTGTGACGTACGCTCTCTGATTTTAATAGGAAGCCAACATTTCTACGAATTAATTCAACGATAGACGTAAACACAAAAACGTATAGCTTTTTAATGCAAAACATATACAATATTAACTAAATTAATTAAAAATAAACGCGAATTTTTACCTTCAATGATTAGTTCCATAATATGATCTTAATATTTTTTTATTTAAATATGTTCCTAAACATTTAATCTCAAAAAGTATAATAAAATCAATAAAGATGATAATAGAAATGTAAATATTATGTTTCATTATAAGTATCGCAATAATAGTTAACTACGTTTCTTTTCCTGGACGACTGAGGCATGGAATGTTATCGACTATGCGATATTTTCCTCTTTGTAAATTGACAGGAGATAGTTGTCAGAAATAATAGAATCATAATATTTATCTGTACATAATATAATAAAATTCTAACTGAATAGAATGAGTACATTAAATATTTTTTGGAAAATCTCATTGAAATAGTCATTTTTATCGATACAGAGGCCTAATCTATAGTTTTTAGAATTTTTGTCTGTCTGTCTGTAATCGCATCACGGAAAAAAACACTGGAGAGATTTTGGTATAAGATACTTTTTAAATCGAAAAAATATTTCATCTCTGAGAAATTCATACTAAACTTAAAAATGTAAGGAGGGACGAACCTGAGCGGAGCGAGGGTGAGACTCTAGTGTTACTATTAAACAAATATGATGCCAGGAAACTGTAGGAGATATATAATATCGTGAGAAACATGTAGATGATGAACGGACGCTCGCTCCAGATTCTGCGCATGTCGACGACTAAGAATGCGGTCATCGACGCGCTATGCTTCATAGAAAAATAACTCAAACTTCAGATAGATCATTTAAAGACACAAAAGAAAATCTTATTATGAATATAACGTAAATCCTAACAACAGCAATAGTTTTTTTACAGCAAATATGTATCTTTTATGGCGCATTTCTAAATAGTTGCATCGTAAAACAAAACGTTAACTGTATTGGCAGATTTTTCCAATATTGCAACACTGACTATGTACACGAACCAAGTTTCAGTGAAACATGCAAACCGCTACAATACATAGCAGTTAGCAGTAATTACGCAAACCTATGAAGATAACATTTGCAACTATTAATATAAGGTTCATATAAGGTTCATTTTAATTTCATTATCTACATACTATATAATACTTATTATTATATGCTCGTTATTTTATAATATGTAAGTCACAAGCAAATTATCATTTAATTATTATGTGAAATGTGAAATAAAAATAAACTACTAATCTATACGATAATGTTGGTGTAAAGAACTCATTCATATTTATTATGGATACCTCAAAGATAAATGATAACCATAAACGTTAATCTACACATATAATAAAATTCTAACTGAGCCAAATCTGTACATTAAATATATTTTTGGCTGTCTGTATCTATCAGTCTGTTTGTCTGTGACCGCATCACGAGTAAACCACTGGAGGGATTTTGATGAAATTTGGTATGCTGATAGCTGGTTATCCAGGTCAACATAATATAGGATAGGATACCTTTTTTGCTATATAATATGTTATTTTTGAGAAATCTACACTAAACGTTAAAACGTAACTAGGGACGAACCTGAGCGAATTGAGGAGGAGTCGCTAGTAATATATATTTTATATGTGAATGAAATTATATTTGAATGAATATAAAAACAGCAAACGGTCGAGTTTCACGACGGACCGCAGTCCGCAAGCAACGTCGTTCATACCATTCACTATTCTCACGTTACCGTGTAACAATCCTCCACACTGCACCGACTAAAGGCGTGAAACTCTAGTATAGACAATAACACAAACGTTTTTAGAAACCGATGTTTCAAGTTTCAGCTGCAATTTTGCGGTGTTGTTAGATTCTGTAATATCAAGCAATTAAAATAGGATATCTTCTTCCGTGTTGTAATTTGATCGTAATAAATGTATGAAGGTGCAAAATTTCAAATAGTTTATATTAAAACTAGCGACTCACCCTCGCTTCGCTCAGGTTCATCCCTAGGTACGTTTTAAATTAAAACGGATATAGTATGTTATCCTTAAGAGATAGACATATGCCATCGCGGACTTTTCTGTAGACCTATATAAGATACACAATTCCACCATACATTATTTTGTTATATCTCAAAGGGTTTAGGCTGCGTTTTAGTTGAAAGCTCCCAGACGTCTTATTTTTTCCGACACCTTCAACAAA